TGTTAACAATGATTAACTAAACGACAGAAGTTTACCCATCCTTGGGGCAGTGCCCCTCTTTGCATTTCAGAGGAGTTACTGGGCTTTTAAATTGGCTGTCCAATTTGCTGACTCTGTAACTGGCTGGCTTTCAAAACTTATATTAGAAGTCTTGCCTTTCCTGGCTATTTCTTCAATAAATCTTTCTTGTAAAAAGAAAAAAAAAAAAGAAGTTTTGCAATGTAGCTTATAAAATAGAATAAGTTTTGCAATGCAAGCTTATAAAGTCAACTCATAAAAAATTAAAAATCTCATCAGTCACACTATGCCTACTGTTAAAGAAAATACAAGCAAAGGTAGCAGCATGCAATGCAAAAGGCAGTGAAAAAGACCCAGATGGCAAAATGTCCTATTTGCTTAAATAAGGTGAAGCTGTCAGCATATTTTCCTGGGATGGTTTGGGTTGGAGGGACCTTAAAAAGCACCAGAGCCAACCACTCAGCTCTAGCTCTTACAGAACTGCCATCTCAATTTCTCTCAATTGCATTCCAAATACGTAGATGGTTATTATTATATTTCCTCCTCTCCGTGAGGAATTTTGTGACCAGTAAGTTAAATTAATTTCAGCTCGATTCAAAGGTCCCAAACTCACACTGAAGACTACACATACAGATTTGAAGTCTCATTTAATTATACTTTAAAAGTTTTGTACACACCTTGATCCACCTCATGGAATAGAATTAGGCTCCAGACAGACAGCAGACACAAGAATGACAGCCTTAAAGTTAAATACAGCTCACAGACCGAAGTTGTAACTCATCCTGGAAAGCCTGGAACACTTTTTACAATCAGCTGCTCTGTACAGTTCATTTTTATCTGGATCTTTGTGGTTTTATTTCATTACATGACAGAGATTTCACCTACAGTGCAGACAAAGGGTACTCCTTCATTTAACACTGTGCAAGTATGCAAACACAGCAACAGTAACCATGCTGTCCATTTTCTCTTGTCAGGTCTAAAAGCCTGGACAACTGGGAACCACAAAGAACAGCGTGGCCCAAAGGAACCTGATAAACTAATATCTGCTATTCAAATATCAGCTTCCCTCCCTAACTTTGCATTAAAAAGTCTGGAAGAAGTCTTCCAAATGGAAGATCCTTACATATCACAGGTTTTTGTTTTGTTATTGAGCCTCACGTGTTGCTAAGGAAGAACAGAGAATATCAAGCGACTTCTTTCAGAACTAAAGGTGAGTTTTGGTTTCTTTCTCATTCTTTAAAGACGTATTATTGAACTACAGTGATTGCTGGTTCAGAGTTCTATCAAAAAGATTCACAGAATGGCTTGGGTTGGAAGGGACCTCAAGGATCGTGAAGCTCCAACCCCCCCACCGCAGGCAGGGCCACCAACCTCCCCATTTAATACCAGCCCAGGCTGTGCAGGGCCCCATCCCACCTGGCCTTAAACACCTCCAGGGACGGGGCACCTCTCTGGGCAGCTGTCAGCACCTCACAGGCAGTGATGTGACCCCACTTTGATACTTTGTATTTCACTTCTGATGTTAAACAATAGTTCCGTTCTCTTCTTCCTTATCAAGGTGAGCATGCATTCCACCAGCCTATTTACCAATCCATATGCAATAGAAGTCCTAAGAACTAAAAGAGAAGAGCTAATAGAAGGCATTAATGACCCCGACCACCTTCTGAGCTGCCTCATAGACAATGGCATTTTTTCCCCAGAAAAAAGGATGGTCATGAGTTTCTACAGGACACGAACAGAAAAGAACTCTCGAGTTTTAGACATCCTAGTTTCTCAAGGTGAACGAGCCTGCAGGCTCTTTTTCTATCCATGTTTAAAGCAAGCGGAGCCAAAACTTTATAACAAGATGAGAAAATATGTCAGTGAAGTAAACGAAAGCATCAGAGATGCCAGAAGACAACTGATAGGATACTTACTTGAAAGGGACAAAGTTTGGTTTGAAAAGAGCTGTGAACAGTACCAAGAAGAAAGAGAGAGTCCTCAAAGAAAAAGACACGAAGGGGCTACTAAGAAGAAAGGAAAAGAAACTCAGCTTTCAGGAGCAGCAAAACCTAGAAAACATCATTCTGATATTGGCATCTTTGATGCAGCTGCCAACGGTTGTATTTCAGAGTTAGAGAAAACACTGAAAGATAATGACATTAATGCACTAAACTCTTCAAATGAAACCCTTCTGCACATTGCAGCCTCTCAGGGGCACCTAAGCATAATGGAATATTTGATCAGCAAAGGTGCTCAGCTAGATGTGATGGACCAGAAAGGGAGAACACCTCTGCACAGGGCTGCTGAGAAAGGCCATGGTGATGCAGCCAAAGTGCTTCTCCGCTGCGGTGCTCACATGTACAGTTTGGATAAAGAAGGCAAGGCACCACTTCACCTGGCTGCACAGAATGACCACAGTCACATAGTGAAGATGTTCCTGAGAGAAGAAGCAAGAAGCAGTGGGAACCGACATCACTTTTTGCACATGGCAGCTCTTAAAGATGAAAGCAGTCTGGCAAAAATGCTTTTGAAGTGTGGTGCCTCCACTGATGGGAAGGATGAGAGAGGACAGACAGCTCTCAGTTATGCTGTTTCTCAGGGCTTTGAAAACACTGCAAAAGCACTGCTGGAAGCTGGAGCCAGTGTTGATTCCAGTGTGGCCGAAAGAGCCTTTGACAGCAACCACCCATCCATCTTCAAAACACTGCTAGAATATTCTAAAGATTTGCCATCGGGCATAATGGAGTCGGCTCTTTTTAAAGCTGTACAGAAAAATTTGCATGGTATTGTAGCAGCTTTAGCTGACAGAGGTACAGATGTAAATGCCTACAATGAAACGCAGTACACTCCTTTACTCCTGGCTTGTGAGACGGGCAAGGCTGAATGTGCAGAAGTTCTAATCGAAAAGGGAGCAAACTTGGGAATAAAAACCCCTGCTTCAGACACAGCTTTGCATCTGGCAGTTCGGGCTGGGGCTGCCTCCATCACCAACCTGCTCCTGCACAAAGGGATGGAAGCCAATGTGACCAATCAGACCGATGAAACCCCACTCCATACTGCTGCACTGCACAACCACGGAGCATTGGTCGGCCCGTTAGTCAGCGCAGGGGCCAAAATTAATGCTGTCACTAAAGAGTTTGTTACTCCCTTGCATACTGCAAGTCAAAGAGGCAATGCTGATGTTGCCAAACAGCTGTTGCACCACAAAGCCAATGTTAATGCGAAAGATAAGCAGTCAAAATCACCTTTACATTTTGCTTGTGAAAGGGGAGATAAAACAATGGTAGAGATGCTTCTGAATGCTAATGCTGACCCCAATGCACAAGACAAGGAGAAAAAAACACCTCTGCATGCTGCAGCTCTGCAAGGCCATCTCAGTATTGTTCAAGTTCTGCTAGCTAGAAAAGGAAGACTTGGAGTTAAGGACATGGATGGATGTACTCCCCTGCACTATGCAGCCATCAGAGGAGACACGGAAGCTGTAAAAATTCTTTTGACATCAATGAAAAATAAGAATATTGATGATAGAAACATTTGGAGAAAGACTGCATTGCATATTGCAGCAGAACATGGGCACAGTGACTTGATATACTTATTGCTGAGTTATGGAGCAGCCATTAACGCCTTAGACAGCAATAAGGACACGCCATTGCACTGTGCTTGCAAGGCTGGTCACTTAAATGCTGTAAATTCCCTCATAAACTGGTCAGAAGGAGAAAAAGCCAATTTGCTAGCAGCTAATAGCCTCAAAAAGACCCCATTGCAAGTAGCAGAATGTAACAAAACAAAGAATCAGGTTCACATTGTCACCATCCTGAAAAAGAAAATGTTGATGGCGTAATAAATACGTAAAGCAAACATTTCTAAACGTAAAGGCAGCATTATTCTTTAATATAATTTGGATGGTGCTGGGGCTCTGTGTGATTGAGAACAGGCAAATTAAGTCAGTAATCAGTGGGGACCATGGAAAACAGGATCTTAAACATACCATTAAACTTTGGAGCATTGATTACACATCTGCTTTTTCCCATGAACCTCATACTTGGGATCTAAAAAGCGGCAATCTTAAATGCACTGTTTTTGACCTTCTGTAGTATAAATCACCACTCAAGTCTGCACAGATAGCTTAGTTAAACACCAGGTTCTTAACTAGCCATCTATTATGAACAAGGAGACATTTGTATCCTCAAGGATACAGAGCATAGACATGTTGGAGCTGGTAATACTGCAGTTTGGTCTGTTTAGCTCAGGCAGAACTAACTGCAAAGCACTGCTGACAGATTGCCCTGCCCTCCCTTCCAGCCCGGCCATACACTCCTGCTCCAGGCTGGATGTGGGAGCTGAGCCAGCCTATTCCACAGCTGCACCTGGACAGAGGAGAGAAGCAGGGCTACAGGCACTCAGTATCAGGCTGTACCCTGCTCAGACATCTCTGTGCAATACCCCGTCGCATGGCATTAACACAACCTGGAACTATAAAAATTGATCTCTGTAGGATCACAAAATCACAAAGGCTGGAAAAGACGCCTAAGGTCACCAAGCTCAACCCACCGCACTGCCCACATCCCTCAGAGCCACATCCCCACAGCCCTGGATCGCCTCCAGGCACGGTGACCCCACCACTCCCCGGGCAGCAGTACCGGGGCTCCACGGCTCTTTCTGACAAGAATTTTCCCTAATATCCAACCTGAACCTCCGCAGGCACAACTTAGGGCCTTAGTTAACTCACCCTGAGCGCTTCTCCTCAGAGCACTCCACCCCCTCCCCCCGCACCCCGAGCCCGCTCTCGCCCCGTTCAGACCCACCCTTCACCTCCTCTCTCTCCCCACACGGCACCACAGCCGTTGCCCCACGCCAGGCCCTCAGCTGCCCTCTCCCCGCCCGGCGCCCCGCCTACCCAGCGCCATCTCTCCGCCTCCGACCGGCGTCTCCTCAGGGCGCGGCTTCGCCTCTGCCTGTCGCGCGTGCGCTCGCCCCCAACTGAGCATGCGCAGAGCCCCTCGATTCTGCCTCGTCTCGCGAGACTGCGACTCTTCTCGCGAGAGGTGTGAGCCCGCTATCATGGCCGCGGAGGAGCCGGAGGTGGATGTGGAGGGGGATTTGGCGACCGCGCCAGAGGAGGCGGCCTCAGAGTGAGTGAGGGTCGTGCGCGGGCACACCGCCGGTACCGCGCCCGGCCGTTGCCGGGAGCCTGAGTTCTTCGGTTTGTTCGGCCCGGAGCAAAGAGGCTGAGGGGAGGCCTTACTGCGGCCGCGGGTCCTCGCAGGGAGCGGAGCAGCGGCGCTGAGCTGTGCGACAGGGCTGAGGGGACGGCGTGGGGCCGTGCAGCGGGAAGGGCGGGCGGTTAGGGAGCGAATCTGCACCACAGGCGTGGAACGGGCTGTCACACAGGGCACGGTTCGCAGCTAAGGCACGTCTGACCGACTTGTGGAGCGAGCGGACAGCGGTGTTACCCGATCCAGCGGTGCTGGGAGAGAGGAGGGGAATCGTCCTGTGACAGAAAGCAGGCCGTGTGTGGTGTGGAGCAGCACCTCCTGCTGCACTGCTGGACGGGGTATCGGGCTGCTGAGCTGACAGCAGTAACTGTTGTCTTGCACACACGAGGATATGTGCCTGCTTGCAAAGAGATGTGGGAACTGGTGGCACAAAGCGGTTCAGAGTACAAGAGAATTTGCTTTTAGTACTCTAGCAAGGGAGAGAGGGCTGATGGCTCCTTAGGCAAGTCTCCATGTTCTGGAAGCAAAGATTTGGATGACAAGGCATTACATAAATTACCGGGTGGTTTTTGCTATGTTAAGGTAGAACAAAGTTGATTAGTGATGGTTTTCTGAAGGTAAAAAGCAAATACTGACAGGAAAAGGTAAGCATAGTCTGGACAAAGTCTGTAAGAGTGCTGACTATCCCACGTGATGAGATTTTGTTAAACCTTTTGGCAGCAGAAGCTGTCCTCTACAGGCAAACATTATTGCTTTGTTAAGGCAAATGTTCTTACCTCACAAAGGTAGAGCAATGTTAACTGGGAATAACACAAGTGAATGACACAGTTAAACAGATGCATTGTCTGTACTATCCATGAAGTTCTGGTATTTTTCTTCTGTATGTATTTTGCAAAGTCCCTTCTACTTTCAGTGGTTCTGGATGGGACTTCTTACTGTGCAGGGTTTCACTGGTATTTTGTATGGTTTGCAACGAGATAGGTGAGATGTTCAGTCTGGAATACTAACAGCTGACTTACTCAGGGGCAGCTAGGCTGCGCCTTATAGAATATTATAAGATAATAACAGTGCCTACAGTCTACAATGTGTGACTTTAATTTTAGGATCTCGTTCTTCTGTTCATGGTATAGTTGCTAATGATGCATTCGTTCTGATTGAATGTATTTGTGGTTTTGAATATGGGACTTCTTTTCAGAGGTCATGAAAACACAGCATCAAGCTTACTGCAGGATCACTACCTTGATTCATCTTGGAGAACTGATAACAGTCTTGTAAGTTATTTTTAATTGAATGGTGCTTCTAGCAAGGTTATTACCACTTCAGTCTTACCTCCATGTACATCCCCTTTTAGCTTATTAGAAACTATTTTTTGCTTATTTTCAGAAGCTGTTTATGTATTGATTCTTGATACTTAAATAACAGCATAACAGAATCCAAGGATTAAGAAGTGTTTGTGTTGTTTGCAGCCGTGGACGCTGGACAGCAGCATTAGTGAAGAAAACAGGGCTGTCATTGAGAAAATGCTGCTGGAGGAAGAGTATCCTTTTTCTGATTTGCTTCTTAATTACAAAGGAACTGGCCAAATTGGTTCCTTGGCAGTGTGACTGAAGCACTGTCACTTAATTAAGTCAGATAGCTACCATAGCTCCTCCTGTTGCTAGTAAGTCTGTGGCTTCTTCAGCCTGATCAGTATCCATAGCCACAATTACATAGTTGAGGCATTGGAAACAAAATATCCTGATGTGGTCAGTTGAGAGTATTAAGAATAGGATTGCAAGGCTTTTCAGCTTCAGGCTGCTCCTGGTGCCTGAAATTGTGCTCCTTTCCACATCAGCTGCTTTTTCAGTGCTACCTCCGGCGTTGTGCTGACACAGCCAAAGCAAACCTGCCCAAACAGCTGTTTTCACCAACAATTGCTCCAATTCATTTTTGTATTCCTTCTGTGACTATGAGTAAGAAAAGAAACAAGAAAATAAAGGAATTTTCCCAACGTAATGAGTTATTGAGAGTTAAACTGAAAATGGGTAAGGCATCAGTACAAAGAAAGTTACTTCATTATGGTTTCTGTGTCAAAAAAGCAAAAGCCTATTGTAGGAACAGGGCACTTAGCTCACTGCTGTAAGTGAGTGTGTGCATTCAGAAACCAAGCATCACTGCCTTCTGTATTAAACTAATAAGAGCATGTGAAATCTCAGTTTCTAAAGCCATACATGCAGCATTTCTACGACTGAATTATTATGAACCAATGTGATCAGTCACATTTCTAGAATTCTCACATCTTCGATACTTTGAAGACTTTCTTAGTAACAATTTCAGATATTATCTCTCAAATAAATCACTTTCTGAGAAAATATGGCTCAGTCAAAAGGAAGCAGAAAAAAGATCTGTGAAAAGGTAAGCTGTGTTCTGGGAAAGCTCTCAGATAATAAGGAATTAATAAGAAAATTAAAAGCTGGTTAATTGCAGGTATGTGCAACTGTATCACATTTAATAACTTCTAATTTCATTCTGTTTTTGTATTTGCAGCCCACATAAGAAAACTGGAAAAGCCATGTACGTACATTGTCACAGTTGCCTTTTTTTCAGCACAGCTTCCATTTTTTTAATTACAGAATGCACACCTAAAATGTTAGCTCCCTAGCTGTTATTTCTATTAGCAGAAACACTGTATGTAGCAAAAGGCCTGTAGTAAAATAACTTGTTGTGCTTTGTTGCTGGTTTGTTGGTTTGTTTTGTAGCACAGTGGCCCTTATTTAAAAAAATTTGGTTGGGTGTCATGGTTATCTGGAGTCTTTCTTTGTGATGGAGAAGCTGACACGTTTCCCAGTCTGTCAGCCAAGTTGGTGCTTCACACAGCACCATGAGCTTGACAGGAGATGATCAGTAGTGCTCTGGTCATGCAGGGGCTGTCTTCAGTTACAGGGGTTTGGGAAGATGTGTTTAAGAGACTTCACCTCATTTCCTTCCTGTTCGTAGGGCGCGATCTCCTACAAAACCAGGTAGCTACTCATTGAAGTGGACATCAGAAGAAAAAGAACTATTTGAACAAGGGCTGGTATGATTGCATTGATGTGTAATGTTTTGAATAGATCATTGAGTTATCTTAAATAATAAACTAACCACAAATAAGCATGCTGTGTTTAGCTGCTTCTACTCGTGTACTTCTAATTTGATGATAATTAATTACCGTGTATACTCAGTGTTTTTATAAATCAGATCTGTACTGATGAATTGCCAGAAATGGCTCTGTGTTTAGCATGCTTTGTTCACTTGGGTCTGATTACAATTTGAGATCACAAAATATCTGAAATATGTTGCTTCCTGAATTGCACACCCACACTCCTGTCATTGAGCATGCTTTAACTAACTAACTGCATAGGGTAAGTCAACTAAGGAAAGTGAAATCCTGCAGCTAGTGTTATAAGATCTTCAGAGATTACATAGTTGTGTAGTGCTGAATGCAATAGGGTTTGCTTCAGCAAGTGTAAACTCATTTCAGTAGGATTCCTTGGGTTAGTAGGCAATGGAATTTACTGCATGTCTACACTGAGTGAGGAATAGCAACGCTTGTTACTGTTGGATGCAATGCTTTTCTCGGTGCGAGGTGATCACTGAGCTTCTGGGGTTCAGCTGTACTGTTTGTGTGTTTGCAATGTGTAACTGAGCTTTTATACAATTGGGTATAAACTGGAATGTTAGAGGCTGGGTAACTCGGCTGTGCTTTGTTGTGCTAGGTGAAGTTTGGCCGCCGCTGGACAAAAATTGCCAAGTTGATTGGGAGTCGTACTGTGCTACAAGTAAAGAGCTATGCCAGGCAGTACTTTAAGAACAAGGTAAACAGGTATTTTGAGTATTGTTGTGAAGTTAGTTTGCTTTAAATGATTTCAGTATTTCTATTGCTTTGTCAGCCCATCAGACACCTATCTCAGAATGTCTGTCTGCTGTCAAGTAAAATTGTCCTGACTTTCTGGGAGGCAGAGGGGATTGTTCCTATTTTCTGTCCCTTCTTAAAGTATTTTATGCTTTCCTTAGGCAAAAAACGATGGTTCTGAAAGAGAAGAGCAAAGTCAGCATGGTGGCAGCCTTCCCACTGAAGATGGGGTAAGGGTAGAAGCGTGGTCAGCTGGAAACTTGAGAGGCCGTGCAGACCCTAACCTGAATGCAGTGAAAATCGAAAAGCTGTCAGACGATGAAGAAGTAGATATAACTGATGACATGGATGAACTGTTTTCTCCTGCTTTCCAGCAAGATGTTGGAAAATCTGAACTGTCTATAATTTCAGAAAGTCCAGCTGAAGAAACAAAAGGAACGGAGCATCCTTGTCCAAGTGCTGGACGTAGTTCTGCTGTTTCTTTGCTGAAAGAAGACTCTCAGAATGCCAAGCAACCCACAGTGGATGCGTTACCATCTCAGGTAGCGACGTGTTCTCAGCACGTGAATGGTGATAAATCTGTGAACTTGGATTACCAGCAGTGCAGTGATTTTATAGAGAGAGCTGAACAGGGCACAACAGGAGCATCTCATGGTGCTAGACAAATAACTGAGCAGGAGCTTCATGAGGAGCAGAGAGACCTGGCTGATAATGGACTGCTTTTTCATCCCCCCTGCCAAGTGGATGAAGATCACCAAGAAGAAGCAGAGGCTCTTAAGCCACCTGATCAAGAAGTGGAGATTGATAGAAGCATCATCCTGGAAGAAGAGAAGCAAGCTATTCCTGAATTCTTTGAAGGACGCCAGGCCAAAACACCAGAGCGTTACTTGAAAATTAGGAATTATATTTTGGATCAGTGGTAAGAGGCGTTCATTTCACTTCTTTCAGCGAGTCATTAAAATCACTCTTGACCTGCTTTGTTGTAGTTAAAACAGTACAAACAGGTTTTGAAAAGAGTAGAAGTAAGTTTGTAGTAATAATCTGAAGGTGATCAGTGAATGGCACTGATGGGTGTTGCTGCTTTCATCTCTTCCCGATTCTGGGATTCTGTTAGCTGAGCAGTGGAAGTGCTTTTTGAAGCATTATGGAAGTTTGTGTCCTATATATATATCAGAATAAACCACTTCAGTTTTTGTTACACTTCTTTTCTTTTGCTTTTGTCATCCAGCATATAAGAATCCTTAGATATTTTCAATAAATGTTTCTTCAGAAGACCTGCTCTAATTCGTTACTGATATGTGTGGTAGTGCCCATGCAGAAGAGCAGCAGGAAGCAACGCTTTGCACTGGAGGAAATAATGTTGACCAAATAATTTTTCAAATTAAGAACCACTTTTGAGTGGTGTTTGTACAGTGGAATATCTTATATTCCATCTCCAAAAAAAATCAGTTCAAAGAACCTTTAATATTTGTGGTAGCAGGCTGAATGGCTTGTTGCAGTTCTGTTTTGTGCGTGCTCACTGGCTGGGTTACTTTGCTTCTTAGTAGAAAGAATTAGCAAATTTTAGTGGGTTCTCACTGAATGCTTTCCGTGCTAACAGCTTATTCTAGTAGCAAAGAAACTCTGATGTTCCATCTTGGAGAGGTAGCAAGCTCAAATAAGTGCATATGTTTTGTGAAACCTGTGTTTTTGCTGTGATTGCTCTGCACAGCAGTGTGTGGTGTTTGCATCGGGGTCAAACACTTCGTTTCTCATCTCCCCCTGACTTGTTTTCTATTGGATGATGTGTTCTGTTTTATTTCAGGGAGAGATGTAAACCCAAATACCTGAATAAGACCTCAGTGCGTCCAGGCCTTAAGAACTGCGGTGATGTGAACTGTATTGGACGTATCCACACGTACTTGGAATTAATAGGAGCAATTAACTTTGGCTGTGGTAAAAACAAACAAACAAACAAAGAACTTCTATCAGAATTGATTCAGAACTTAAATTTCAGTCAGCGTGTGCTGAGACCAGCTATTGCTTGTCTGCTTTCTTATTAAAACAAATATTTTCATGTGAAGAATGGATGTTTTTCTTTTCCTGCTTCCCCATATTGAATCATTTTGGAAATAAAACAGTCTCCACCCTCAAGGCTACTTTTTTTTTTTTTTTTTTTTAAACAATATACAAATGTTGAAATTAATTGGCATGCTAAAAGTATTTGTAGACACCTAAAAGTTACTGTCAGTTGATGCTCAGTTTTGGAGTCCCTGTAATGGGTTGACTCTGGTCCAAAGCTGAAGGATAAACACCTTGGTAGGAAGGAATATCCTACAATAAATCCTGTCTAAAATGGAAGTTATTTCAAATGAATTAGTGGAAGGAGATTTTTCCCTTCTTGGAAATGCTGTGGTAGTGAGAGAAAACTGTATAATCACTCATCAGCATAACCATCAAAATCTGTCTCGATGTCGCTTTTTTCTTCCTCTGTGGCATTTGTATCCCTTCAAACGTTACTGAAGCACAGTGTGTATCTCCTGTATTTCCTGCAGAACAGGCTGTCTATAACAGACCACAACCAGCTGATAAATCTCGGTCCAAGGAAGGCAAAGACACAGTGGAAGCATACCAGCTTGCTCAGCGTTTGCAGTCCATGGTATGTCTTGGGGTCAAGGGGAAGAGAGTGCGTGGTGGAAAGTTTGACATGAGGGTCTTTTCAAGCCAGGCCATCTCAGGAAACTCCTCCTCTTGTTCAGTTTGCAGTTTCATTAGAGCACCCTTCAGTTAAAATATCAGTTTAAGCAGAATTATTTTTTTTGACTGGTATCTGTTCTGTTTTCTGTTCTCTTGCACGTTAATTGCCCAGCTACTGACCTAAGATTTGGTACAGTCTTTTTCCTGGAATCCCAACCGCTTCCTCCCCAGCACCCCAAAATCTGTTCACATAAATTAGTCTGAAAAGAGTGGAGTGCATCAGTAGAGTGAGGTTAAGTTGCTTGTGTCTTAATCATTAAGTAGACTGGGTGTGTGATTTGACTTGCTGAGAGTCTTATGCATGCAATTAAGTAGTAACTCATTCATAATTAGATGAATTACCAAGGTTTGCCAGATGTAATGTTCATATTTACATTTATTGTAGCATTTTGAAGTAATTCATAGGGAAATAAATCAGCTGATGAGAAGAAAACAAAATCAATCTCATTAAAGGAAAAAAAAAGCTTCAGCTGAGGAACAGTAGCTTACACAGGCACACACATACTGGTTGATAGCTTTCTGCATGGTCTGTGCTATAATTCACAGTTGGATAATAGTTTGCTGTTGCTGTGAGGGACGTTGATGTTCCATGGATTGATATCCAGGTGTTCTTTACAGCCTTAAAAACCTGAAAACATCGCTGATGATATTTTGTGACAGATTGTGAACTATTCTGCAGAACTCCAGGGTGTTTTCTCTTTTCTGGAAGTATGTCACAGTGTTAGGAAAGCTCACGTGGCAGTGATCTTTTGGATGGTGTTCTTACAGCTGATTAAACACAGCAAAGGCATTTTTTTGTGTCAGTTTGATCCTTGATTTGTGATGATTTACTTTCTGCAGCGTACAAGAAGACGGCGAGTCCGAGACCCTTGGGGAAACTGGTGTGATGCCAAGGATTTGGAAGGGCAGACATTTGAGGTAACCTGGTTTTGAGCCTTCATTTACATATGTGATTATTGGTTATTGCTTGCTGTTAGAATAAATCCTGCAGCTGTTACATCTGCTGATAAGTGGCTGCACTTCGGTCTTAGCAAAAGTGTTCATGCTGTGAACATGGATGGATCTACACAGCTGGACACCTGCAGAGCTCTTTGCCTCATCTTGTATCGAACTTCATGACCCTTTAGTTAAAGAAAAAGTGTTTTTGCCTCAGTTTAGTTACACCTTTGATGTGGTGGGGGATGGTTTAATGCAGTGCTAAGGTTAAAATATCAAATCATCGAGGATCAGGAAAAGCTGACATTAATTTCTGTACTGATTCCTTTTGCTTATAACGAAAAAAAATCGGCCTAATTTTGGCACATGTCTGTTTTATTTAGTTCAGATTTGCCATGAATCTGGCAGGAAAAGGTTGGTTCCCTTTTCCAGAAAGAAAAAGGAGTTGCTTAACTCTTGTTCACTCTGGATTTCGGAACACTAAGTTACATTTATCCTGAATATTTATCCTGACTATCCTTGTTTATCCTGAGTGTTTAGGACAGAGCTTTAGAACAGAGCAGCCTTGATAGTGTATGCAGACTGTGTACAATGTGGAACTTGATCCTTGATGTGAGAGGAATTGGGCTAGTTCTCAGAAAATCTTGTTGCTCTGTTAGTTCCCTTCAGCCTTACTGAACAGTACAAGAGAATAATATATGAAGTTATTTTTCTTTAGGTCCAGCGTGGTTTCTTTGTGCTTGTAATGCAGGTGATGTGAGTTGGTGAGTTAGCAGGGATTCTAGCAGTATCTCCAGAAGTGCTGCCCTCTGTGGAGATGTTTTAAGGTTTTAAAGATGTGGGAGATGCTTCCTCAAGCCCATCCATTCTTACAAGTTCAGAATTTAGGAAAAAGTGAAGAACAGGAAACATTCTGTTATTCTTGAACACTCCCTCACAAAAACAAACAAACAAACAAATCACTTAAGTTCACAGCCTTCAGTGGTAAGCATGTGTAACAGTCACTTCTGTTGTGTTATGCTGACAGAAGTGTTTTTTGTACAGCCCTGGTTAGTAAATACACCTTCTGCAAAACACAGCTTTGGTTTGCAATGAAATGTGAAAATGCTGATCCCTGAAAAGGTGTTCTGGTACTTTGTGGCCACAGCTTACAGTGGGAGACTGTAATTGGTGGCACATAAGGAGGGCAGTGATGTCGAGGATTCATTCAAGACACTGAGACAGGTTTTTGCAATTATTTTTTAGCATCTGTCTGCTGAAGAATTAGCAAGAAGAAGAGAAGAAGAAAAACTGAAGCCTGCAAAATCATCTAAAGGTTCAAGACAAATAAAAAGGTATTTGCTGTACATCATGTTCTAAAACAGATCTTATAGAAATAAAACAATTGGCTTGCATGGCATCGGGCTGGAACACTGCAAATCAGTAATGTGTGTCGTGGGCAGAAATGACTTGTAGCATTTCAGATGTTTAGTGCTGAAATTCAAAAGTGTGGGAGGTGAACTTCTGCATTTGGTGGAAGGCTTCGTAGTATCAGATGAAAAACACACAGTAAAGAAATCCTCTTCTTCCTCTATTGAGGAGACAGTGGGAAACTAGGAAAGTTTCCTGACTGTCCTGCATCTTTAGAGACATTTTCTTTCGTTTTATAGTTCCTTTGATCCCTTTCAGCTGATACCATGCTGTTTATTCACTGAAGAAAAACGGGTATGTATCTGTGAGTGAATATCTATCATGCTTTAGTTACTTACATTACTTTCATTATGCTCATTGTTGTGTTTGTGATTTCAGGAACCTTTTCAGGTGAAAGTGTCTTCAGAAGCACTTTTAATAATGGATTTGGTGAGGAGGAAGTTTTATCTTACAGAAAGCTGTGATGTATGTGTTGGGAGGGGGTTTGATGGGCAACGTGGTTGGATTTGGCAACGCAGTATTTACTTCATGCAGTTTTTGAATGCTGTGGGGTTTCTGAAGTTAGCATTGCTTAATGGATGGAAGTGTTATACAGGTGCATTATAAACATGCATATGTATAATAAGCAAACACATTTTTGTTTGCTTTAAATTGAACCACTGGCTATTTTAGCATCTTTAGCTGTCCTAAGTTCTCCTTATAAATGTCATTGAGAAATTACTGAATTGCAATTGTGAAGCCAATGTGGTCTGTCAAGTGCAAATCAAACTTAGGAGAAATTATACAGCTTGAACTTTAATAATGATGTTTAATATCATTTTAGCACTCACATGTGTCTATGGCAGAAGTAATAGGGTTGCTAGGTGGAAGATACTCTGAAGCTGATAAAGTTGTGGAAGTAAGTGTTTATCTTTTTTCCATTTTCTCTAAGTCATTAAAACTGTTGCATTTGAATTGATGCAAATGTTATTTCTCCGGGGCTTCTACTTCAAGCATATGGAAGCTGAAGTTAATTACCACAATCTTGAAATGGTTTTCATGCTGTGTGTTAAAGTGTTGGCTCGTCAGCTCTTTCACAAGGAAGATCTGGCACGCGACTTAGAATTCTCTAAATGAATCTTATTGAACTGATTAAGATTTCTTGCATTTATCCATCTGGAGACTTTCTTAACAGGTTTGTGCAGCAGAGCCGTGCAATAGCCTCAGTACAGGGCTGCAGTGTGAGATGGATCCTGTATCTCAAACACAGGCCTCAGAAACACTTGCTGCCAGAGGATACGGTGTTATTGGGTGGTACCATTCCCACCCAGCGTTTGACCCCAACCCCTCCATACGAGATATTGACACTCAAGCTAAATACCAGGTACTTACTGGTCTGTACATTAATAATAAATAACCAAAGAAAGTGCAAACCCCTCAGGCCCATTCACAATGTTAATGCACACTTCTGCCCTGTTGCTTGTTCAGAGCATGTTCGTGTGTTGTTCTGTACTTCATGCTGCATGCTGATGCTGGCTGGTTTAAATGAGGTTGAATATGTATGAATGCTTCCCAGACTTCCCACTATTCTTGTCTGTCCTTTGATTTCAGGATGCTGTTGTGAAAAAGGCTTATTTCTGATGTGTGGTTTTGTTGGTTTTTCAGAGTTATTTCTCCAGGGGCGGTGCCATGTTCATTGGAATGATTGTGAGTCCTTACAACCGAAACAATCCTCTGCCGTACTCTCAGATTACTTGCCTGGTGATCAGTGATGAGATCAGCTCTGATGGTTCCTACCGTAAGTACTGATAGTTTCCCCACTGTTTTAGCTTCTCTTATCCTTTTAGATGTTAGGGGGAAAAATATTGCATACTCTTGAGCCAGGCCTTGAGAAGCAGGTGTACATTGCTAAGGAAGGACTTGCACTGTACGAAATGAGGAATTGCTCCTAAGGGATAGTCCTGCAAGTAGCCCTTGCTGTTAGAAGAATATGGAAAGGCATGAAGAGATAAAATCTTTACTGACATTGTAGTATTTCTCACAATCTGGGAAAGAAAGAAAGGAGTCGGAGCAAGGTATGCTTACATACAGTGTCCACATGAAAATCTGGGAAACTCTTTCACATGCTTTACTTGTTTTCTGTAAAGCAGCAGAGTTTAAATCCTCTGTCAGAGGAGGCCAGAAATACTATAGCAAAGATTTGGCTGCTGTAGTGGTGGCAAATTCTTACTTGAGTAACTAAATATTCAGAAGGATGAGGGATCAAACTTGCCAGCTGTCCAGGAAAATGCAGATATAAAAGATGAATTATCAAGCAGATCCTAGAAATGGTGTGCTGGCATGAATCTCAACCAAAGAGAGTAAGTACATGGCTGCTTAAAAACATAACTGATGTTTTGTGAGAACAGGATGTCTTTCTTTCTGGAGTAGTTCAGACACTTAATATAAAACGTTTGGAATTTCTACTGTTGATGGGGTTTTCCTCTTGTTACCTGATGATAATCTGAGGACAAATCCCAGGATAACAGAATATGGTCGTGGTCTCTGCCTCTTCTCTCTTCTCCTTCCTTCTCCCATTTTAAGACCTGATTTCTGTATCCAAACATGAACATATCCAATGTTTTGGCAAGCTAGTATAAGAGGCCATGTGATCTGACAGTTCCCCCTCTGTTTTTCCTGTGGTTGTAAGCAATGGAGACCATCTGCCTGGAGACTTGGGGAAGTGAAGTGGTGATCACATTTGTGCAGTACTTGTACTATAAAGTTTAGTTCTTTGGGCTTTCTTTCCTTCTGTTTCCCATTTGTGCCACACCTGTGTTGTGGAGTTAAAATCTATGGGAATGCTATCTGGCCTTAGAAGTAGGCATTTTCTTATCACCTACATTTTCCACCTGAGATGATTTAATATTTCTGTTTTCCTCTGAAAACTGCATCTTATAAGAGAGCATCTCAGCTGCCTCTTGAGATGTGTTACACTGTAGCAGTAGTGCTGTAGTTCTGTGCAAAGGAACAAAATCAGTATTTAATGAGATCTATAAATATTTCTGCAGGTTCAACTAACAGATCGTATCGATTGCTCTATTTTCATTACACTGAGGTGTAGTTTGAAAGCATGCAACTCATCTCATTGAATTCTTAGGATCTTGGGAAAGTAGGGATTTTTTTTGCTTTTTTTTAATTATGATGATGATGATGATGATTATTATTATTATTATTTTTTGAGTATCTGAAATTTAACACTTTCTCTCATTTTTGGTACCTGACTTTGTGCTTTCCAAGTAACCCTTTCAGAATATTTCCTAGATTTGCCCCTCCACACCTCTGTACCTTCTATAAACTAGCAGAATTTCTTCCTACAGGAAGATTCCTCTGAAGCCTGGAACAGTAGCAGGCATTCCATCAGCCAGTTTGTACATGGAAACCAGTCTTCCTTTCTTTCTTGTTTAATAGCCACACAGATCTTACAGACATGAAGTGGTTCTGACTTAAAAGAACTCAATTCACATGGCCATTTTTCTGTTACATTGTGGATTTCTTTTTCCCTTCTTGTTCTCCACAGTTCCTCACGCAGACACCCACCAAAATTAAATTTCCCATCCAAAGTATCACACTTGAACATCCTTAACACTGACAAGTGTTAAGTGTCCGTGACCTGAAGATATTTTTAATGTATTGTAAAAATGTTATGCAGTGAGTATTTGTTTGATTTATTACAGGCCTGCCCTACAAATTTGAAATACAGCAAATGTCAGAGGAGCCTCAGTGGGAATTAATATTTGAAAAAGCAAGATGGATAATTGAAAAATACAGATTCTGTCACAGGTATGTTTTGCTTTGTAGTATGCAGAAATTCTAAGCTGAGTATGTTTATTATTGTGTTCCAGTAAAGAAATAAATCTGCTCTAACCTTTCTCCTGCTTTCCTTCTTTTCTTTCAACAGCAGTGTCCCCATGGATAAAATTTTTCATAGAGATTCAGACCTGACTTGTTTGCAGAAAGTAAGTTTGCTGCTTTTGGTCCTCAGGCTTTGTAATTTAAAATACTATTTGAAATACATCTGTTCAGTATCATCAGGTGTCACATCTAAATGTTAGACATAGACTAATCCTGGTAAATGACTTCTGTGGTGCAGCTTTTTGCTTACCAACACAGTGACAATAAGGATGCTCGCTTGAGATAGTGGGCATAGCAGTAACAGGCAGCTGCTAAATTTTAGCCTCCTTTTTGGGGGAGAACAAATGGCAAATGAATGACATCTCAGCATGTCGTGTGCTTTCAGTGTGAGAACTGCACACGTGTTGAGAGAGGATTGATCCTAGTCCTTTATTCTGCCAGTGAAGTGGAGCTGTACTGTGTTTATTACACATAAGTGAGAATTTCAATTTTCCAGTTGGTGTAATCATCACTATGAGGTTCTAAACTACAGCTGTAACACTAATTGCACAAACCAAACAGAAAATCTGCCCAAAGCAAAAGGCATCAACAGAAAACATACACAGTAATTATCCACGTCTCTTTTTTCCCCTCACAATGTGGCTTTGCCTACAAACAGCTGACGTCTGAAATTGAGGTGGTCGAATTCTCTTGAATTTAGCTGTTGTGTAAACTTGTGATTTACAAAATAATACACATCTCCCCACGAAAGGCTGTCAGTTCTTTTTTGTCATGGCCAGTTGCTGAGCAGTAGCTCAGTCAGATCATGAGGAGTTGTTCCTTTCTGCTGTAGTGGAGTATGGCTCTTTTTTGAGTGTTGTTTTTTTTCTTTTTAAAGCCCAGTGTAGGAAAATCACCCATTTGTTCATACATAGCTGTTCTTTTCTGAAATCTGTGTTGTTCAATTGATCTTAAAGTAAATAAATTAAAAACCAGTTTGAAATACCAAGTAGTAAGAAGGAAACAAAAATTCAGGAAAACAACTTTAAGATTTCATTTTCTCTTGGCTAGCTGTTGGAGTGCATGAGGAAGACCTTGGGCAAGGTAACAAGCTGCTTCATTGCTGAAGAGTTCTTGACTCAAATAGAAAACTTATTCCTTTCCTTGTACAAGAGTGAAAAGAAGAGTAATGCTGAAGAAAACAGGAATGAATGTTCAAGTGAATTAGAATCATAGAATCGCCAAGGTTGGAAGAGACCTACAGCTCATCCAGTCCCACAGTCCTGTCACCAATAATTCTCACTAATCCATGTCCCTCAACACAGCATCTGAGTGTTCCTTGAACACCCCCAGGTTTGGTGACTCCTCCATGGGAGGAGGCCTGGCCGCTCTTTCAGAAAAGCAGCATTTCCTGACGCCCAGCCTGAATCTCCCCTGGCACAACTTGAGGCCGTTGTCAGTGTGATGGCTTAAACAAAACAAGTCTGGATTTTTATTTTTATTTTGTTTAATTCTTATTTCACCCACCGGTTTCTTTTCCTTCTTGCATTACGTCAACGCTTTCAAAATTGTGACCCATTTTAATAGTAATACTTAAAGTACCCAGTCTCTTTGTTTTGTTATGGTTCACTGAAGAACTCCCGGTGAGTGTGATCAGGCTACGTGAGGAGCATTTGCTATTAACATATAGAGAAACCATGTATCACAGGGTTAGTGAATTATTTATAGCCCAGCCTGTGGTTTGGGAGAAGGACAGGCTGCCCACAGTACTGTGCTTCAGTCTTGGAGGAGAGTTCTCTCACGTTCTGTCACAGTTCTCTCTTTCAGGTTGGGAATTTTGTTGTCATGTATTTTTTTAATTGACAGGCACGTGTATCTGACACTCATGGATTTGTTCCTCAGTGCTTTCAGAGTCCGAGTTCAAGTGAATTCACAGAGGGAGAACTGACCACTTTGAGATGAACGATGTGTACTCAGAGCAGCTGTTTGGCATATTTGCCATCTTGCTTTTATTTTGGGTGGAGAAGGCTGGCCACTTGTTGTCTTCTCATTACTAGTTGTGCTTGTTTCCAGTGGAAATGTGAACTCCTGTTTGTTACAGGTTGCAGTCTTTCTGATCTTCCATTCTACAGGAAGATAATATATTTTTCTGTCAGATCATTGAGATTTGCCCACATTTAATTGCCAGTGTTTCCTGTGGAAACGAGCTCTTCATTGTTGGCAAGTGTAGAGCAACAAACAGAGAAGTGTGTCGTTTTTGGGGGGGAGGGACACAAAGAAAAACGTGCTTTAAACTTTGCCCTCTAAATCAAGAGGAGTTTTGACCTCAGTACACAGATTTATCTTGGGCAAAGTTTCTTAGATCTAAGAAATATATTTGAAAACATAAAGCAAGCCAGAACGTGACTTTGTACTCATAGGGATAAAGATGGATTTGATTCTTATTTGAAAAATACATATGTATGTATATCTACTTCTACATCTATAAATGGGATTTAAGATTTTATATGTTTAAATCTTCAGCTTTTCATCTGAAAAGCTTTAAAATTGTACAGTTGCATCCTAATGAGGGAACTCCTTGCAGAGTTTAGAATTACCTTCTTTCATCACGTCTCATAACGTCAGTTCCTAAGTGGAAGATGCAGAACATGAATGTGTGGAAGTCTGAGCAGTTGCTGTTTGATGGTTCTCTCGGTGCACATTTGAGGATTATGGTCTGGAAAATGTTGGTGACTGTCCTTTCTCTTCTCTGCCAGGTGTGTTTGTGCACAGTTTTAGATCACACTGCTGTGTATAACTTACAAACTTGGTGCATCCATCTGTTTAAGGCATGCTGACTCTGCATATATTCAAAATCATCATCTTTGGGAATTCCTAATTAAAAATACTGCATGGCTTTCTGTATTTCTGATTTAGACAACACTCCTGGTGACAAAGCATTCTGTCCTGAGTTGGTTCTGTCCTGGATGATCTGCAGCATGAGGAGTTCTGCTGCAGTTTTACATAGGATACTCCAGAAAAATCATATGCTATATATTGTATGTACTAAAAGCTGTAGTTCTCCTATAAACTAGAAGGAAATTTCAGCCTCATATGTAACAGCAGTATGAAGTAGATACCATTCTTTGTCCGTATACACGAATGTCAGTGTTACCAAAGTAGTGGTAAGAACGTGCTGGCTGCTTTTCTGCTTAAGAATTAAAGTAATACAGTTGTATTAATTGGTTTTAAGTCGCATTAAGTCAGAAGAATTTGGAGTCAAACTCACTTCTGAAGCAACTCAAATATCCAGAGAATACTGTGCAGAACTGAGCTTTTGATACGCGTGCACACAAAGGCACCAGGTTTCCCAAGGGTGATCTGGTACCAAAGGTTTTCCATGGGCTGTGTCTCAAAGTGCAGGAAGGGTGAGGGGGGCACGCAATGAGCTGGCAGTGCCACCGTAATCCTGTGTGACCACACCGTGTGGCATGTGGATTGGAAATAGTGTGCTATCAGGGCAAGTAATAATCCTGTGGGCAGGAGTCATGGTAAGAAGTGCTCTGCTTTTTGTCCTTTGTCTTTGTGTCTAATAATGAGCTTGGAAGTTGTGTGCTTCTGAGATGTATGCTACTAATACTGTCGGTTCTGCTACCAAACACATACAAGGCATTAAATACGTTTATTGAGAAGCTCGGTGTTTTTTCATTGGATTTTTTTATGTTAGCTCTGTTTTAGGACAAATACTGCAGGCTAATGTATTTTTTTGTTTATGTAAGACCCCACGTCTCGTCTAGCCAAGCATTTCCTCCAGAGAGGGGGAATGCTTGAGCAGCAATTGGAACGATGGAATTCAAACTGGGAGAGTCACCCCTGCATCCTAAGATGTAGCTCTTGGCCATTTTTGTCTGAGTGAAGTTCTGCTGCCCCAGTAACCAGCAGCATTTTTTCACAGCTATTTATACCTTGTTCATGGTGAGGATGGGGGGCTTGTCCATATCTCTTTGAATATTTTTTCCCCTTTCGCTCATTTCTTTGATATTCCTGACTGATGGTATCCAAGAATCTGTTAATAAAGACTGAATATTCTGTACTTCAGAAGATGTATTCCAAACTTATAATAGCTTCTTGAAGATAACATCTGCTATTTCTTTATTTGAAGCCAGTCAGAATGAAGAATTGGTTCAGCTCAGTGTAATACCACTAGAGGGAGCTTAGGTACAGATGATACGAAAAAGTAAACTACAGAATACAGCTTAAATGATTGTCATTTTGAACGAAGAGCTAGAACTATTCTTATGTATGCAGCCTTGCGGTCAGTGATTAAGTTTTGTGGGCATTGTTTGTATGCTGTTGCTTTCGTTTGTTCTTACCAACTCTCTGCTCTGATCTCCAGAAAATTAGGATGGTTTGTGGCAGTGATGCTGAGATGGTGGAGCTGTATTTGCACGCTATTTCCTTAGAAACAATTCTAGCATCCTAGCTGTAGGATCACTGAAATAATATCATGCAGTTTTTCTCTCTCCCTCACCACCACAGGCAACTGCAGTGACTTCTGAAGGTGATCATCAAGTTATCTTTCAAACTACTATAGGCATTACCCGAATTTCATTCAAGTGTGTTGGTTATAGCTCTATTCCTGCTGCGCCAGCAGGGAACTTGATCTGCTAGGAGTTCCTGGGCATGGAGAACATTGTTGAGTAGCGGAGAGAGAAGCTGTGCAGGCGAAAAGCAGTGTGCCACCTGCGCTGGGGCAGAGCACTGTAGCTCAGCACTGCAATGGAAGGAAACACTGCAAAGGAAACACTGCTGCAAAACTGTGAGGGAAATGGGGATGTGTGCGGCGTGGCTGCAGAGCCAGCGCATGGGAAGTTGCTCGTTCACGTCTCAGGGAACGTGGTAATGGTGTTTGATACTGAACAAAGCATTTAATGGCCTGGATGAAAGCATTCTGGTGGTTTAATTGGAAGTGCCTTGCTGTTTTACACAGACCTACTGCCCTATTTTCATGAGACTTAAAATTGTGCAGAAAAATTGTTTCCATGGAAGCAGAGATCACAAAAGAAATAACACTCAGTGTTTCCTACAGGATTCCTTTTACAGCCTGCTGTTCTCAGCAATTAACTCTTGTAGCGCTGTTACAGTTTAGCGTGGGTTCAAGGAGGTAACAGAAAATAATACCTTGAGGGACTGTGTATATATACTTGACTTTTTTTCCTTTCCTGCCTTTGAAAGAAATCTGTTCTCTGCATGTTTACAGAAGGAAAATCTACAGTGGGGAAAAAAAGTTAATGGAGGAGTACAGGCTACTTTGGCAAGTTATGGAATTCAGTCAGGGAAACTTGAAGTTATTCCTGCTTTCCCCTTTTCTTGCCTCAGTTTTACATTATTTTTTTTTTTTGGTGACTAAAAGCACTGCTGTGTACTCTGAACCAGCTTTGATGGAAGCAGCAATTAATGGAGTTTTTAATTAAGGTAACAGTAGTGAGAATCACCACCAGCAGGGAAGTCAGACCATCTGTTTTAATTGCCTGTCATTTTTCTTCCATACATTACTTCTGAAAAACCACTGCTTTATTCTGTTTCACTGCGTCTGTAAGGAAGGAGAAACTATCAAATGGTGATGGGAGGCTCAGACCAAGGCTGAGCATCGCATGAGGAAAGTGCTGTCACCTAAAAACCTTGGCTCAATAAAGTGCTTTCAGAGCACAAGGGCGGCTCAGCTCTCAGCCATACAGCAATTGCTGTAGTGTCTTTTGAATCTGGTTATGAGCTGTAACATTTTATAGCTGGTGAGGGTCCTCAGTGAGACATCTCAGAGGGCAAAACAAAGGCTGCTCTCTCTGAAGCGCATAACGTCAAATAAAGACATGGCATGAGGACGTAGCTGACAGTTAAACAGATTTTGACTTGGAAGGAAGGATATGGATTTTATGTATATCTAAGATAGGAAAATTAATTACTTGGAAATAAAAATGACATGAGAGTTGGGATGTAGTACAATTGTAAGAGCAAACAAAAAAAACCCTCAAAGTGGGAAACTGAATTACTTGGTGATTCCATAAAAAATGTATCAGGAGTTCACAACGACTTCCTACAGCACCTTCAATGCTGATATTTTTATCCTAGAGGAGGGGAATTGAAGAGGTGCAGTAATGAGCTATAGGTCTGAAGAGGAGCCAGGAATGATTTGAAGAACTTGCCTCATCTTTGCTGCCCTAAGTAGCGTGAATTTCTTTGGCTGATTTAGAAACAGGAGGAGGTCTATGGACAGATTATGGAGTGAGAGGGAGTGTTTACATCTGCAGCTTCAATTCTAAACCTACACCATGTCATTAATGCTCATCAGTAGCCAGGGTAGCTTCCTACTGTTCACATACACACAAGTCATCATTACAGGCAGCCCTGCTCGTGGTGATTTAAAGCAGGTCAGGCCCTCAGGAAAACAGAACAGGCCAAAAGAATTGTCTGCAGGGCAGCACAGAAGTTGTGCAGATGGGAGAATGGTGCTGTTCAAAATAATGATTTATAACGGGTCTGACACCATTTGACAAACAGATAGATGACTTAATGCTAACTGGAAATTGTGGTTCATGCTTTGTAAATCATCATTAAGACACTGGGGAGCCACTGGAGTGTAGTGTGATAGGCATTACTCAAAGTTCAGACTGAAAAATTTCTTCAGAAACCACTGACAACTTTGTAAGGGTAATGAAAGTTAGGAAATTAGCATTCCTAATACTGCTTTGGGATGAGTAGGAAAAGGGAAGCTTTCTGCAGTGGAAGCTGAGATTGCTCTCCTATGCTAAGTAAAAGTTCATCAAACTGATGAATTGTCTTTCTACCTGAGTTGGCAGCTACTTCGGGGTTCTGTTGGATCATACATAAAATAAAGCCCTCTGCAGTTTTATAAGGATGTGAAAGTGGCATCTGGACAGTGGATGATACAGAAGTTATGTAAGAGGTAGGAAAAATCACAATGAACATAGAGGAGTAGGATTGCCTCGGATGAGTGGGACTTCCTCCAAAAGAAGTAGAGGAAGTTTCTTACAGATGCATTTGTCTGTGTGCTCCATAAAAATCCTGACGAGAGAAGGCGAGGTGAAGCCTTGTGCTCTAATCTGTAAGCTCAGTGCAGGAGCTATGCTTTGGGTCTGCTTTTGCCTCCTCCCTGTTGCTCCCTCACCACCAGGGATGTCAGGCATCTGGGCAATCAGTGCTGCTCACTTAGAAATAATAGATGAAAGCTCCTCTGGCATCTGGGCATGAGAGACCAGTTGTTTTAGAAGAACTTGTTTGTCAGGTCTGGTTGTACTTTGAAGAAAGGAGCTGCACAACAGCGTGTAGAAACAAGTAGAGTCCCCTAGCAGATATAAGCTCCAGACAACGCTTGCTGCCACTTCCAGCTGTACCCACACGTTGTACTTGTGCTATGGAGCCTCTGCTTGGGGTTACGCTGGGTTTGATTCTGATGGTAGCTTCATCGGCACAGAGCTGTACCTGCGTGACCAATAAGTGGACAGTATGCGACCAGGATGCATCTGGCAACTGCACCTGCAGGCTGGTAGGTTCAGATCATGCAGTAGATTGTTCGACGCTGACTTCAAAATGCTTGCTGATGAAGGCAGAAATGTCTGTCCTGAAGCTCTCCTACAGACCTCGGGTTAAGCTGCTGGATGGTGGCATTTATGATCCGGACTGCGAGGACAGCGGTATCTTCAAAGCCAGACAGTGTGACGAAGCTGGAACTTGCTGGTGCGTGAACACAGCTGGAATAAGAAGAACTGGAAAAGGTGACAAAAATTTGATATGCAATGAACTGATAAGAACAAACTGGGTCGACATCGAACTGAAGCACAAAGAAACATCCCATTACTTCGAAGCTCTTGATGTAGCAGAAGCCCTGACACGTCTGTTTGAGAACCGCTACAAACTGCGACCCAAATACATCGTAGCTGTGAAGTACGATTCCCCATTTATCCAAATCCACCTAAAACAGAATAACTTGAAGCAGCGGGACGTAGATATAGTTGATGTAGCCTATTACTTGGAAAAAGACGTAACAGGGGACTCTGTGTTTCATTCTGACAGCACATTTCTTGTCTCTGTTAATGGGAAAGATCTGGCTATTGAAAATATACGCATTTACTACGTTGATGAAAAGCCACCAGTGTTTAGCATGAAGCAACTGCTTGTTGATATCAGTGCTGTGGTGGCAGTGGTGATACTGCCTGCTGGTTTTGTCATTATTTTGGTGATTGTTCTGTGCCAGAGGAGAAAATACAGAAAAATTAAGATTGAAAAGATGAGTGAAATAGAAGGACAAATTCTAGAGCTCTAATCTGACAGAAGGAATCAAACTGCAACTTCAGCAACCAGGCAGAGGTGGGGAGGGCAAAATAAGAAGAATGAACAGACTCTGTGTAATGTGGGTGGATTTGGAGTTGTCTCCCATTTTGTAGGAATTGACAAAACACTCGTTTTGAATTATTCTACTACAAAAACAACTTTTCCTTGGGTATAAATTAATCTAGGAGTTGGTAACTGAAATCTGGGACCAAAAGTCCCAATTCGGTAGCTACACAAAGTGTAATTGATATTTTGTGCCAATATAGCATACGTGCACTTGTACTGCAGACTTCGTTCGCTTGCTTAATATTTAAGCCAAGGTTCCTCGTGTGTTTGCTTAAAGCAAAATAATCATAGCAATAAAAATGTTTTAAAAGTCTTCAAAGTTGCTGGAACTTCTTTTAGTCAACGATTAATTTTGTTGGTGTCTCTAATCAAATAAATTGGGATAAAATACCTCTATTGCTAACGGCTTTGATGCAGTCAAGTGTTAGCAGGCAGCACTGTGGTCACTTCCATTTGTGCAGGGCCTCAGTTCTTTGTATTCAAGTAGAACTCAGCTTTCCCAGCTCCAGGTCTGGCATTCTTAGTCAGCAATGATCCCTTGATCCCACTGTAAGTTAACCTTGTTTTTTCTTTCCAAATTCAGATAGTAGCTTTCCGTCTACCTAAATATCCCTCGTAGTTGTGTCAGAGGAGATATTTTTTGGTTTTTAAGTTTTACACAACTACTACATAAAGCTAATAAAAGGCTTTATTTAGTAGAGCTGCAAGGGGAATTTTAGCAGTGTAATTGCTGCAGAGTCCAAAACCACAACCCCATCCCAAATACAGGAATCTGTCTGGGGAATGACTGGCTACTGGGAAAAGAGTGAAGATAGTTTGGTTCTGTTTCTGCCTGTTTATCATGGAAGGAGAACAGACTTGGATTTGGGAGCAGAGGGTGTTATTTCTGACAGCATACAGCATCACTACTGATTTCTCACCTACTGGAAAAACATCGGATGGGCAGATGCATCGCCCTTCCCCCAAATCAGATTTTTACAGTTACATTAGCAACATAATGCAAATGAAATAAACCAAATAAAGATAACCAGTGTTAACGAGAGGCTGTGTGCTATTATTTAGCCACATTATGTAACAGAGGGAGTGATCACTTTAACTATGCAGAGCTACCTGTTGCCTAAATTACATTGTGCAGGTCCGACTGGGGAAAGGCTGCCTTGTTTGAAAACTGAAAACAGCTCCCACAGAAAGAATCCCTGGCTCTAAGCTACAGCTCAGGAGAGGATAATGCTGCCTTCTGCATGCAGCGCTATCCTAGTTCAACTGACTGAAGTGGGCTTTAGTCTTTCCTTTTAGCTTTTAGTTTAAAAAACAAATAGACATATTTTTTTTTTAGCTGCTGGAGAGGGAAGTGCCAGTTGCAATCCAGCATTAGAGCAAGGAAATGAAAGAGAAGGATTCACAGAGGGATTAAAAGCCTCCTCAACTCTGCTCCCTCTGCCGCCCTGGTGAAAACTATGCCTGCTTCCATATGCAAGTATGCACTCAAAGGGTTGGCACATAATCCCTGCATTAGTTTGCAAATTATTGGTGTGTTTGCATTCTTGTAGGTTCCCATACCTGTATTTAAAGATGCACATTGCTGTTATTATTATTTTTTTCTCCTGGAGCAGGCAAGCCCCAGGGAAAGCTTGTGGCAGCAGATCCTACACTTCAGCCAGCTTGAAGCCTGACCTGGCTCTTATCAGTGCTAACGCAGTCCAAACCCGCTGCTGTTCTGGATGACAAAGAGAATCTCATCTTTCCCCACTTAGGACTGATCTCTGTAGGGCTCTTTGCACTGGGACTACAGCAAGATGAGGTTAACTCCTATGCCATACCATATAAACGCACCCCACCCATCCCTTCTTGTTTGGATAATAAAGCATTAGCATGTCTGTGATGGTGAGCACTTCATGACAACAGGACACAGGATCCCCCCAGTAGTCCTTAAAATGTCCCTAAAAGTGTCAGGGAGTCACTTAGAAATAAGAGCTGACACATTGAAATCACTTTTTCAGAGAAAAAGTAACAAATAGACCTTATTTTCATTTCTCTTGGCTGGAATGATTACTGCTATTAAACAGACTGTCCTCCTTGTGCAAGTATTCAGGTATAATTACCCTTTCCAAACCATCTCCATTGATTAGTTGGAGGGTTTAAGTACAGCCAATATCTGTCTTTTTTATGCTAAAATTCATCTTGAATTATTGCAATTACTTTCAGAGCAGGAAAAAACAACTTTTGGCATTTATATAACTATTCACAGCAGCTCCCAACAGAATTCTTTGTACTGGTTTTTATCTGGTGAAGATTTCACACACTTCAGGCAGCCTGACAATATTGACATCTCATTTTCATGCCCATCCCTTCTGCCTGAGGGATAACACTCTTACAGTCCTACTCCAGCACAAATCAAGTGCCACAGAAACAATTAGGGATATTTCATATTATCTAAGTGGAATAATGAGAATATATTTAATTTTCCACTGAGATTTTTACATATGGGCACAACAATACTGGTTTTGCTTGAAATAAATGGATTCATAAGGCCTGAGCTCTGCATTTCTGCTAGCCTGATTTTATCCAAAAAAACAAAGTGGAACAACTGCAGAGTAATGGAGGTGGCACTGCTGCAGTCACTGCACTGCATAGTGCAGAAATGCTCAGCTCAGTTTCCCCAGTCTTAGCACACATCTGTCGAATTCTTTTTTTCCTGTCCTCATGTGCTCTTTTCTGTTAGAGATACACCACCTTTACAACTGTCTCAATTCTGCCGAAGGACTTAACTGAAATCTCCAGTACCGAAAGTTAATGAGTGCTCCATTTCTAAGCCTCTCTAAATAAATTTCCTGCTTTAGAGATCTAGTAGAAAAATTCTGTGGTGTCTGCTATTTGAGCTGGGATATTTTGTACACAGTTGCTTTAAAAACCATTTCCAAATTAATCGCAAGAATAAAAAAAAAAATAATTGAGGGATAGATTCTCAGAATTTCTGCCAGTTTTGCAACTGCTAAGGGTTCCATTCACACTTTAAAGTGCAATGATTGTCAGATACACCCAGCTACCAGCAACAGGGAATGCTGGAGATCATTTGCATTATAAAGACATCTTAAACGGCTCAAAAATCAGGAGCTCTTCAAAAGTATTGGATCCGGATGTTTACATTTGGTTCCTTAACTCTAAATATCTCGTCTGTATTTAGGCTGCTCTGAAAAACTAGCGAGTGCCCTTTGCCCTGGTCTGACCAGAAGCCTGGGTCAGCAAGGCACTCACTGTGTGACCCAGTGCAAGTCTGATGACAGCACTGCACGATTCCTAAGATGCTAGGACTCAAGAAATGGCACTAGCAAGCTGGGAAATCCAAACCAATTCACTGGTAGGAGGAGATCCAATAATCATTTGTGGCTCTTACAGAGTCTTTTATTAAAATATTACAACACTGCAAGCAAATGAGATCACTCTGCCTCTTCACGGTGCTTTGGAAGGGACTATACTGAATTTTACAACAACTTCTATAGTCCTGCAGTAGTTTTCCATTCCCTTGAGTAACTTCATCTTCTAGATTGTAATTTTACTTTTTTTAAACTATACTGTAATACATAAACAGCAGAAATAATGATTAGTTATTAACAAATAGATACATATCTACTAGCATCCACGTTCAGGTATGTCAGTGGGACAGGTTAGCTAATATGATATGTACACAACACAGAGCACTCAGTGGATGGAGACTGGATCTAGTGAACAACATTTGGAAGAACTTCAATAATAATGACATGTTAACTGTTCTCTGAAGTTCACATGAACTCCTTGGATTTCTGCTGGTCAAACAGACATAAGTAGCATTAAATCCAATTTATGACTTGCAGAGGGCCGATAGACTTTATTGTTTCTGACAAGATTTTAGCCTGCCACTAATGAGCAGATGTGAATTACTTTGAAACCTGAATGACAAAACCATCACTCAGGATGGTTGGTTTTTTTTTCTGCCTAGATTTAAATAAAAGATAAACATTTTGCCATACGTTGTTGGTTTTTTTTTCACTTAAAAATGAATACATTTTAAGTGACAACTTTTTAATTGTCAGGATTAAAATTGGTACTAGGAAGATGTTATTATAAAAAGGCTTCCACTTGAATATACAGAAAAATCATTAATGTTTATAGTTACCTTGTTTTTAATTATTTTTATTGGATTTCATATTTGGCAACTGCATCCAACTTTGAGGTCAGCCCTCTTCCAAACAGAATATAGGACCAAATTACCTCCAAGAGATCCCTTCCAGCCTGTTACTCTATGATTACACAACTCAGAATAAAAGATTTGTAAGAAATCGATTTGAGTTGCAATGATCTTTGTAACACACATCCTCTCACTAAAAAAAAAACAAGCTCCAGCTCTATGAGACAAAGACTCAAAAATAGCAAAGACAAGGCAGTACTGCCAACTGCTTGAGTGAAGGGTTTTAAACATGAACATTTCATTCAGTTTGGTGTGACTACTTACAGTAATACACAGAGATTGGATACATCTACACAGGTCTTCTTCAGAAATGCAAATTCTGGTCTTCTGGTCTTCTTCAGAAATGCAAATTACAGACTTTTTTTGAAGAAGAGATGAGGCTAGCAACAAAATCTCAGCACAGAAGTTTCTTCAAAAAAGAAAAAAGTTACATACATGTATAGTTGCTAAAATTTAAGAGAAGCCACGGTGAAAATCACTAGATCTATTTTATTATCTCCAAATTGGCAATTTGGAGAAAAACACCACTTCATCACCAATTGCTCAACCGCCTTCCAGATTTTCAGAGATGCAGTTCATGTCAGTATCTGATAGAAAGATCCTATAATTATCTGTGTTGTATTTGCTGCTTGTCTGCTTTGAAATCTTAATTGTAAGTGATAAAACTTGTGGAGAAGTGCAGAACACAATTCTTAGCCCCATCTTTATGCACTCAAAACTCAAAAACACACAAAAAAATCCAGTGATTTTAATAGGAATGAGGAATGAGGTGAGGTTTCACAGGTGAGGCAGGAATGCAGAAATAGCTCTAATAGCCTCTAAGCAGATAGGTAAATAATGAATCCAGATAAACAAATAATAGCAAAAACAAAACAGAACAAATGTTCAGCTGGTTTAATATAAAATGGAGTCTCTGAGGTGCAAGAATGAGATTTGCTTCACAGACCAAATAGGAGAAAGTACTCATGCTTGGCTTAGGAAGGGAGAATTCTACATGCAGAAAACATGGAGAAAAAAGATGATCAGAGGGCTGGAGCATCTCTCCTGTGAGGAAAGGTTGAGGGAACTGGGATTGTTTAGCTTGGAGA